ATTCTCTGATGTGCAGTAAGATTGGTAGACCAATTAAAAGACTTTCCGCATTGATTACATTCATAAGGTTTCTCTCCAGTGTGGGTTCTCTGATGTTCAATGAGTCCTCTGCTTTCCCTAAAAGCCGTTCCACACTGATTACACTTATAAGGTTTCTCTCCATTGTGGATTCTCTGATGTTGAACAAGAGTGACCTTGCGTGTAAAAGTCTTTCCACATTGATTACATTCATACTGATTATCTGCAGTGTGGATTCTCTGATGTAAACGAATACTCTTCCTACATCTGAAAGTCTTTCCACACTGATTGCATTCATAAGGTTTCTCTCCAGTGTGGATTCTCTGATGTTTAACAAGACCATCCTTCCATGTAAAAGCCTTTCCACACTGATTACATTCAAAAGGTTTCTCTCCTGTGTGGATTCTCTGATGTAAACGAATACTCGTCCTACATCTGAAGGTCTTTCCACATTGATTGCATTCATAAGGTTTCTCTCCAGTGTGGATTCTCTGATGTTGAACAAGACTGTCCTTCCATGTAAAAATCTTACCACACAGTTTACATTCATAAGGTTTCTCTCCAGTGTGGATTCTCTGATGCACAGTAAGATTGGCAGACCAATTAAAAGCCTTTCCGCATTGATTACATTCATAAGGTTTCTCTCCAGTGTGGGTTCTCTGATGTTCAATGAGTCCTCTGCTTTCCCTAAAAGCTTTTCCACACTGATTACACTTATACGGTTTCTCTCCATTGTGGATTCTCTGATGTTGAACAAGAGTGACCTTGCGTGTAAAACTCTTTCCACATTGATTACATTCATACAGTTTATCTCCAGTGTGGATTCTTTGATGTAAACGAATACTCTTCCTACGTCTGAAAGTCTTTCCACATTGATTGCATTTATGAGGTTTTTCTCCAGTGTGGATTCTCTGATGTTGAACAAGAGTGCTCTTGCATGTAAAAGTCTTTCCACATTGATTACATTCATAAGGTTTCTCTCCAGTGTGGATTCTCTGGTGTTGAACAAGAGTGTCCTTCCGTGTAAAAATCTTTCCACATAGTTTACATTCATAAGGTTTCTCTCCAGTGTGGATTCTCTGATGTTGAATAAGACTGTCCTTCCATGTAAAAATCTTTCCACATAGTTTACATTCATAAGGTTTCTCTCCAGTGTGGGTTCTCTGATGT